ATGGCTACTTGCACATTTGCATAGCAAATGCATAACTGGGAGCTTGAGGGATGTGTTCATTTCCCTCTGCTCAGCACTACAGAGATCCCTGAAATGTCATGTCCAGGTATGGGCTACCCCAGACAACATGGTCAACAGGCTGGAAGGAGTCCAGTGGAAGACCAGGAGGATGGGTAGAGGTTGGAGAGCACAAAATGCAAGGAGAGGCTGAGGGAACAGAGATTGTTCAGTCAGGAGCAGAGAAGACTTCCTCTTGTTCTATTCTGCTGTCGAAATGGACAGAAGAGAAGATGAACTTATTTTCAGATATGTGCAGGAAATCAAGGAAATCAATCAATAGCTGTACATTGTAAATATGGAATATTCTAGTGGGTTTATTCTGTGATGTGAGAGCCCAGAGTGCAATATGAACCTCCATCCTTGCAAATTTCAAAATGTGACTCAGTGAGGCCCTGCATACCTGGAACCAACTCTGAAGTTTTTCTCATATTGAGTGGGGAGTTGGAGTGGATGAGCTCCAGAGGTCCCTTCCAACAAACATTTCTAATGATTCTGTGCTTCTTCTGAATCACTCCAACTCTCTTTTCTAGCTGATTGTTGTAACATTTTGAAATTGTGGGGTATTTTGACTGTGGATGGCAGGAAAATTGTTCTTACCTTCTTTATTAAACAGATATTGGATTATTATTGTGTAACGTAGGAACATTTTTGTATACGTAGAACTTAATGGGGACCATGTAACTCTTCCATCTTCACATCTTTAGAATAAGGCAACATGTAATGCATCTCCAGCAAACCATGTGATCATTATGACAAAAAGTCTCCCTAATGAACCTGACCCATGTTGTAAATAATTGTAACTTTTTTTTTCTGAAACCAGATTTTTTTCTTCATAAAAAAATTAAAACATATTTTCCTGTGTAGATGGAAAAATCAATGTACTTCCTCTCTCTGATATTCTAAAATCAAAAATGTTCCTCTTTATATAAGAAAACGGCGTAATAAATTGGTACTGTCCTGAAGCTGGATACATTCTTGTTTATCAACAGCTTTTCTATGAACTGGCTACTCCATACATGAAAAATAAATTTTCTATATCTGAAAAGCTGAAACACATGAAATTGAGCTTCCAACTTTGACCTTGAGTAGTGTTTCTCTTGGTTTTAAATTTGTGCAATCTCTACTTCTATTGAATTTTTATGAAAACATTTCTGGGGCTGTAGAGGAGTTTTTGTAAACCTTTTAAAAATTCTATTTGAGATATCTGGGAAACATTCATGATTTTTCAGTTCAAGCAGCCTATTTTGCATGTGACAAACCATTCTTTTCTATAACCAAAAGCAGATTTGCAGCTTCCTTCACATTACTGAAAGCTTGTGATTTTAAATGAATTACTGGTCACTTTTTCTACAGTCATAGAAAGTGGCCTTGTGAAACAGTCACATGTTCTTTCCTGCCTATGTTTCATTTTATTAATGTTTGGCAAAGGATATTATATTTCTGTAGTGTGGGTTTAAAGAGTGCTTTTATAATTGTACTGTTATTACCTTTTACCCTCTATGGTGAACATCTATGAAAAAAACATACCTCAGCAGGAACTTCTGAGAGCTGATGAGTGAATAGATGTAGTTCCAGGAGAGCACTGGGAATAGGCCTTATGGTTAACCTCCATCCTGTTGGATGCAATGATGTTGCTATCTTTGTATATTGCCATATATACTCCTTATATGCACGGCAATTTTTCACAAATTCTAAATTATTTTTATGGATTATAAATCCATGAATGAAATATTCAGACTTCAAGAGTTATTCCACAGTCAGTCTGGGGACACACATGCAATTGATGGGGTGAAGAGAATAAGTGATGGAGTTCTGTGTCTTGTTTTCAGATGCTGAGATAGGCTATTTGCCAGGACTTCCTTGGCCCTGTGACAAGCTGACAATAATTTTCAATATCCTGCTAACAACTCTTTTCTATCTGATGCCAACAGATGCCCCAGGTAACTTTCTACTAACTGAAGATTCATCTTCGGAAAAGTTCTTTCTAAAAAAAGCCCAAGCATGTAAAGCTTGTCAGGAAAGAAGGTGGGGAAGCACAGAGAAGTTGAGTACCAGAGGCCAAAGTTGAGTAGCAGCTGTTGGATGGAGGAAGCTCAGCAATGGATGCCTGCACCAGGAGTTAATGTTGAGATCGCCCAAATTTCAACAGTGTCAATGGAGATAAAGTGTGCTGGCAGCATCACTGGAAAAATTTTCTGTAGAATAGAGGAACTTCTTTACAGAAAGGGTGTCAGACATTGGAATGGACTGCCCAGGGAGGTGGGGGAGTCACTGCCCCTGGAGGTGTTTAAGGAAAGACTGACTGTGGCACTCAGTGCCACGGCCCACTTGGTGTTTGGTCAAAGGTTAGACTCAACGAACTCAGAGATCTTTTTCAACATGATTGACTTTGTGATTCTGTGATTCTGTGAAAGGCCTTACATTGCTCACTGCACAAGGAAAACTTGAAGAAATCTCACAGCCCCACATGGAAACACATACTTTTTTCACAAGTAGACACCACTTCTTACCTAGAGCTAAAATATTTCTTCTCTTTGTGGCACTGAAAATCTACAGTGATTTACTCATTATCTCTGCGAGTAAGATGCTTTTTATGTTTAGAGAATGTTTTTCTTTCAATTAAATCTGAATTTTGTTATCAGATAAATTACTTTTAATAGACATTAAGTACTCAACTCAGTGGAATTAAGACCTTGCAGACATTCCAGCTGGTGTTTTATCCATTTTATATTTCAAGCAAAGAGGAGTAACCAGCACGGTTTGAGAAGTCATTCCTCTTGCTTGATCAATAGCTTATGTATAAAACTTTCCAACAGAAAATTCTTGAAATATAATTCTTCAACGCTGTTAATCTCCCAAATTAAACTCTACCTATGCTCAGATGTATCATCCTCTGGAGCACTATTTATCACAATAAAACTTAAATATGGGCTTGGCTTACAACAGGCCCATAAATTGAACTGTCTATTAGATACTTTATGTCCCATTGGTTATGAACCTGTTCACAATCTTGCCTGTAATTACTAAAATGTATAGCTTGAATTTTTTGCTGAATTTGTGTATTTAAAATATTAAGTGCTTCATGTGCATGGAACTTGGAGAAGAATTTAAATGCATCTTATCTTGATAGAATCCTTAATAAATGGTTTCTATTTATTTTGAACAAAATCAGAATGTCTTCTGCTCCCTAACATCTGATACAAATATCTATGGATCACTATTATAAAAGACTGGAATTTCCACCAGTCATTTTGGCCAGTCTTACATATTTTGAGTTCTATTTCATGTCTGCATTAAACATTTTCTCTGAAAATAACATAAGGGTAACAGGTTTTTAAAAAACCTTGGGCTGAAATGAAATGTTCTGGGTGATATATTTGTACTGTCATTTTAGCTTGGGTTTGAGGTCACCCTTGAAACTGAGCTAAATAGTTTCTCTATTAGTTCTAGATAGTCTCTCTTAGAAATAGTCTCTAAATAGTCCTCCTTCAGATTTTAACCATGCAGCTACTCAGCTGGAATTCCATATGGGGAGAAGCATGATGGGTGCTGGCTGCAACCTCACTCCTGTCCATACAGACATGAGAAACAAGCAGCTCAGGGCGTGGTGAATAGGAATCCACACTCACACATCTGAAAAAATCCATATTAAAATAAATCCACTGAGACTTGTTGTTGTCAGTGTGCCTTAATGGGTAACAGTGATCCCATGCCTCTCTTTGTAGTGGTCTTTTCCCCAGTACCTGCTAGATTGCCTGTTATGTGAAATATCATAATGACAAGTGTTAGCCCACAAGTGTCCAGAAACAACCACATTGATATGAATATTTATTGTGATGTTACTACTTTACAGATTAAAATATTACAGAACTTAAATTTGTAAGGAAGGCGTCTTGTTCCATTATGAAGACTAACCCATACATTGTAATTTTTTTTATTGAACCATGTGGATCATGGCTGTTTTTTCTTTCCAAAGAAGCTTTGGGTAATAGAGCCTAACGTGTAAAGCAAGTTAGATGCCCCAAAATGCATAGTCCCAAGTTCTTTTGTTTTTTTAGTGAATCCCACAGCATTCCTACCCAGCCATCTAAATATCTATATGTCAGAAATCCATTATGAGTCTGTCTGTGAGTCTCTGAAATTCATTGACATCTGGAAATTTGATTGCAGTGCGGTCTAGTGGATGAAACTCAGAGCCAGGAGTTTCTGACTCCTCAATTCTTATCTGATTTTGCTGCAAACATATTGCCTATCATTAGGCAAGCTATTTAAATGCCATGCCCTGGTTTGTCGTGCTGAACTAATAGGAGCAATAAATACCATGGAACCCTGCTAATTAGAGCACCACGCACTCCTGCTGCTGGTCAGGCTGGTGAAAAATTGCTGTACTATAGCTAGAAGCAAATACCTATTCTTCAACTATGCTACAGACATTTCCAATCAGCATTAGTTTTTCCATGTAAGATGAAAGAAAATAAGCCATTGTTTTCAAGTTCTTGTAATAAATATATTTCTTTGGATGATCAGTGCAGAGAGCACAGAAGTTAATGTTGAGAGAAGTCAATTATTTGTGTTAGTAAATAACCAAAACAGTAAGGTTTCTCTGTGCCTATACTGCTGGGTGTTTTGAAATTAAGCATATGAATACATTCTGCAAAAGCAAATTGCATATAATTTTTTATCTGGCATCTATTTTTATGCAAATATCACAATTAGTAGTAGGTCCAGCGAACATGAACACTTCTAATTACTTCCATGTTTTCATGTGATTTAAAATCAAATCTTCTGCTTAATACTAAAGCATTTTTCAGATTATAGCACAGACTGTTTAGCTATTTTGGCAGCTTTAATATGGTTTACAAACAGGAATTCCTGGAAACAGGAATTATAAAGATGTCATACACTGGATACTTGCAACCAAATTCTAAGTGTCAGGAAAGGCTCTGGTTAGGAGATATATCCCTCACTCTCATCCTGAGCATTACATTTTCAGCCTTTTTTCTCTATCAAGATAAATGTCCTGCAGGTCTAAGACTGCTGCTGCTGCTGCTCACAGTAATGAGCTCACCTTTACCCTTTGTTATTTCATCCTCACATCAGGTGTTTTGCCTTTTTGTACTTAGTTTATTAAATTTTTAAGGCAGAGACCATTTCTTGCATTTTGCATTCTCTAAGTCCAGTGAAGGCTGATATATTTTATATCCATAAGTCACATTCACTGCTCAAACACCATTTATATGTTATTTCTTACCATTCATATGCCATAAATTTCCATACTGGTTAAGTATGACATCAATCAGAGCATACTAATGTAGACTAAATCACAGTTAAGGAGAGGGTTGTTACATCCTAATGTTGCAATTTCCTGTTTGAATACCAAACTTCTCATAATTTTTATGTGCAGGAAGGGACAAAAACATTTCTGTTTTGCAACCAGGACCCCTAGTGTGTATAAGCATGTAGTGATAGCAAGGGACAAAGGCAGACTGCTCTGTCCCATTGCTCCTGCTGGGAGGTTGCAGAGCAATACTGGGTGGTATGTGTGGGATGCAGAGCCAGGAACAGCTGGCAGGAGCTGCACCATCTCTCAGCTTTCTCAAGGGTGTTGTCAGGAGATCTCCAGATGATGAAGTTTGTCCTCACAGATCTTTTTCAGAGTGGGAGGTGGGGGGATGTTAGGCCTTAAGTCTCATATGTCACTTAGGATTAATAGATTTTAAAAAATAAGACAAAAATTACTTTTCTTTCCAAAGCAATAATCAAGATAATTTCTAGAGTTTCAGAGTGCTATTATGATGTAGAATCTCTTTTCCAGCCATTCCAAAGTGTGGGTATTCTCACTGAAATTCCCTGTGGTCAGACAATGAAAACAGTACAGAAGTTGGCAACAGGCTGTCAGCACATTAAGAGAAGGACAGGGACTCCCAGCCATCTCAGAAGGCCAGCTGTCCATTTAAACCTGTCTGTGTCTCCTTAAGTGGCACTGCAGGATTCTCAGCTGCACTAGTGCCTGCACATGGCTATGGGGTCACTGTGTCCTGCTCCATCATTCTGGCACCTCCTGTCACACCACCACCATGGAGAGATGGTGTTCTGCTCAGAGTCTCTTTTACAAAGAGCTCAGCTAGAAGGAAGATTGCAGGTTGAGGCTGCTTTAAAGCTGATGCCAAGATGTCTTAGTTAATGTTCCACAGCTTCTGCTGGAGGCTCCATCCTCACCACAGCCTGATGTCCAACGTCTCCTCTTGAGCCACTCCCATCCCACTGCAGAGCACAGACATGCCACAAAGCTAATGCACTCTGAAATCAGCATTCCTGTGAAATTCTGGGTCCAAATTTGTCAGTTAAACCATCTATAGTCCCGTTGAATTTACGGCATTTGAGCTGCTGCGTGCAAAGCCAACTAATTTTAAAGAAATCCAATTAATTATTCAAGATAGTGCAGTATTATTATGTTAATACTTTAACATACATATTTTTATGATTTTGTGCTGATGTAATTTCTCATATGCATCACTTTAGATTTTTTTTATTAATTGTAATATGGCTAATAGTCACTGTAAGAATAAAGAAATGCAACTAATGAAAAAGATGAAATTACTATGTAGGATTATGTAGGCTATATTTTGAGGCAATTTAACTTTCATACACTAATGTATTATCTATGTAAAATATAAACATTCCTTAGTTTGCACTAAGTTTTTAAATGAGAGATTTGAATACAGAGGACTGAAATTATCTGTCATTAAAAGACATATACATACATAGAAAACAATTTACAGAGGCTTTATTCCATACCAACTTTCAGATGGTGAAATTTTGAAAAACTCTTACCTCTGGCTAAGTTGGATTGTAATAAAACTTGGGTTAAATTCACAATAATACTACACAGCAATTGCATGCAGTAGGTCCTAAATGTGCTCTACAAGATGCCAGCATATATTTTGTTCTTTTATAGCTAGTAAGGAGATTTTTATGTTCTTCAGGCTATAGAATGCATCACTAACAAAACAATATGTACAGACATTTGGCCACTCACTGTTTTCACTGATACAATAAAACAAGCAGGTGCAAATCAAAAAAGTGCTGCCAGGGAAGGATATCTGCTGTCTACTTGGTGAAGTCAGAGGAATGGCTTCTGGCGCAGGTTTGACCCAAACCACCAGTGGTTCCTAACAATCCCAAGCACAGTTTGGGAAATAAAACCAGTCAATCCCAATAGGGAATTTGGCTATGGCCATCCCTTTTCAGATGATTCTACAGTATGTGCATGGCCCTTCCTTTGACAGTTATTCTCCACTTAAACAATGGCATGATTGCATACTAACATGGATGGAGCCATATGGTTCATGGTGAAACACAGGGGAAAATGATCTCATAAACATAAATTTCAGAAAAAAATCCTATTCTGTCAGCTCTGATTTTATTGTAAGCACTTATGATATTTTATCTAAAACTCTAATTTCTGGAAATAAGTGATTTCATTACTACCTTCTATTTAAGAAGCATTTTCTCGATGTGCTTGAAGAGGACAGTACTTTTTTCAGTTTTATTTTCTATTTTAATTTTTAATCTTAATTTTTATTATACTGGAAGGGAGAGGCTTCAGAGAGCAGCTTCATACTGCAACCCAAAGTAATTCTAGCATCACTTATTTTGGGAGTCAGATGAGTAATATCACTTCACATTGCAAACACTGCATTTTGACCCATGGAAGAGGTTTCCTGCCATGGGGATAAATTTGTGCTTTAGCTTAACATTTTACCAAGCCTCTCCAGCCTAAAACCACTGTAACTCCTCAGAAAAACTTGCATTAGATGACAGACACAGAGAAGGGGATTGAAATGGAAACCTAAGACCTGTCTAGCCTTTGAAACATCTTCCATGACTTTAAAAGCAAGATCCCAATTTGTCATTTCTTCTGGGCTTTTAAAAAAAACCTCACTTGAATTCAGTTTTTTACCTTAAGAGAATGGTGATTTTGCAGCAAAAACTGCTAATGAGATTTTATGGTCTGACTGAGAAACAACAACATACACCAATGGCCAGTGTATGAGCTTTTGAGCTTTTACACCCACTACCAGGAAATTATTTTCAGAACCCTTTCCTGAAGTACTGTATAGTAAAAGCTCAAAGGTGAAAAGTGAGCTATCAGTAAGAGCAAGATGTTTCTTATAGAGATGTAAGAATAAGCTTTAAATTGACATATTTCAAATGTTGATGCTTTACAATATGAGAAGTGTGTGAAAAATAAGATTACTGTTTTAATAATATCTTTTATTGGCTTTTCCTGAAATTATAATAGCAATAAAGATAGATGTTGCAAAGAATCAATTTTAGCCCTGTGTTTTATGCTGACCCTTCCTGACATCTGAGCTTCAGCAACATTGAAAACTGACATTATTACTTGTTCAGCGCTATCAAACTGGAAATTTCACCTTATTAAAATGCAGTTGCTATGGAAACACCATAGTTCTGTGATTTTTGCTTGCAGGCGGTATAGAAAAAATCTTAGTATCAATATACAAGTCAATGCATGTCATTTTAAAATACCTTCTTGGTTCTCTGATGCTTTTATATATCAGTTGGAACTGTAAGATGTAGCACTTTATCTTAATGTGCTAGAAGAGTGAAAGACACTTTTCAACAACAATCTTGGGTATATGCCATAGAGCATAATACCTAGATGGAGGCACCTTCTAAAATTGCTTTCCTTTTTTTATTAAAGTGAACACTTCTAAAGGCCCAGTTCCTGCCTCTTTTTTATTCATACTTACTTGTTTAATTTGAATATTCTCATTTTAATCGTTTTGTCCTTGGGGTTTAAAGGCCTCTTTTCTTTCTTGAAAACCCTGAAAAAGGTTTCAAATATATGTCATGCTATCATCCTTTATGACAAGGAAATACAGAACCTGATAAGGTTTTTGTCTAGATGTACAAGAAGCACTGAGCAGAGCAGGAGGAAAACTGCCTTCAACACTGCAGACTGACCTTTATCAACTTCATCATGTTAGCATTACCTTTTAAACTGGCCTTTTTTGACAGCTTAATTTTCTTATTCTACTTTCTGTCATTTAGGTCAGAAATATATATTCAACTTATCAAATTCTGGGCAGCTAAGGATTTTTTCACAGCTCTGGCACAGATTTCCTGGTTATATAGCCATGGGATTTGAATTGGGTTAGTGCAAAGGTTTGGTGTGAATAAAGGTCTTATTCACAGTCTGGTCAAACATGGATGCCTAAGAGCAAAGATCTTTTCTGATGATGTCTTGTAGCCTCCACCAATGAAGTTCAGGGTCCTCCAGGATAGATTTTCCCTTCCATAGTTTTGTCTAATGCATGGTTTGGTCACATACGTTTTATGCCAACCAAAAACTCCTACTGTTCTGCCCAAATTTTGCCTGGGGACTGTGTGAAAAACATCACTGGTTTTGATTTTGCCATCTAATTATCTCACTTGATACTCTCTTGTTCCTGAATGACAGGAGTCAGTAAGAAATCATGGATTATGTATGTAATCCACCTTCTCCACAAATTCATGACTTCATAAAACATTATTGCATCATTCCCAGGCTACTGGTTACAGGCCAGCCACTGCAAGTCCATTCTCCTGTGTGTCACCTTGAAACAGAAATAACAAGAGCTTTCATTTTCAGAGAATACTCGTTACTGCATACTAAAGAAGCCACTGTATTAAAGTCAGAATAATAACTTAGATTATGGCAGTGGATTGGTACTAAATATGATGGAGTGAAAGTAGAAGCATCTCAGGCTCTACTACACCTGTACTGGGAGTGACAGAACAGGGTGGGCTCTTCTGTGTTGGCCATTTATTTTTCAGCTGCTTTGGCAAAGTACCATCAAGTGGGGAAGGGAAGCAGGCTGGTCACAGTGATTCAATTGCTGTGCTGTGGAGCAGTATGGATCCCTCTATTTGGATTGCTGAGGCA